CAGAGACACTTTCTGAGCAGTAACTGAAGCTCAGAGTCACATGTGAGGATCCGTCTCCAGGACACGAGGACAATAGATGCTGATGAACTGAAGACATCAACACAACAACAGATTCACTACATTAGAAGAAACTTCATGTTTAAAGTATTTGTACATGAGGACATGTCTGATAGAGACGAAGGAGCAGACACATGAACTGAGGAGTCACTGATGGTAGAAGATGAGGAGACATGTTGTGTGTCCACAAGTCTGGTTGTGATCATGGTCCAGGATCAGCTGACACCATCAGGATCAGGATCCATAATGGGCTCAGGGGTTAGAGCGGTCGTCACACATACCGTCTCAGTAGCTGGACTCAGACAGGTGGGACCACTTTGCAGTTTATACAAAGACTTTGTGAGCTGTCTTTGAAACCAGATTCTTTCATCACTGAAGGATTTGAACAGAATATGTTTCTTGAGTTGGGAACATCGATCATCGTTTCTGTTCTGGTTCATCAGACTGAACCAGAACACACGAACAAGAGCTCCCACCAGAGGGGGCCGTGGGACAAAACACCTGGACACTTACCTGAGATACAAAGAACTTCACAACTTCAACTCCTTTTCTAATTCTGGGAAACGACGGTAGCTGAACACTCAAATGTGTCATCGTCTGGAATAGTCGAGCCTCTGGTGCATTTATATGAATCCATTATTAATGAATGACCTTTTAAATACAGAGAAGTAAACTTGTTGATGTCATGAATTAAAGTTCTCTGTTAAAGTGTTGGTATGTGAATGTATTTACATTGTTGTGTTTCTGGTTGTTGACATGTTGGTGTTCAGTTGTTCCGTCTTCATGTCGATGTGTTGATACCAAAGACTGACGACTTCCCTGTTTCTTCAGGTGTCGTACGTCGTCAGTGTGGATGGAAACGATCACGTTGTTCATCTGGAGAGAAACGAGTGAGTTCATCTGTCTGACACACACACACACACACACACACACACACACACACACACACACACACTCGACTATGATTTCATTTGAAACGAGTGTTTCAGCTCCATCATAGTTTTGGTCTCCTCCACATGTAAACAGCTGTATCACAGTAAAATACTCGTTTAAGATGAACTCGTCAGAATACGAGGCTGTAATTAGTTAATGTTGCTGTTAGTACAACAACACAACACAACACAACACAACACAATACAATACAAGACAATACAACAACACAACACAACACAATACAACACAATACAACAACACAACAACACAACACAATACAACACAATACAACAACACAGCAACACAACACAATACAACAACACAATACAACACAACACAATACAACAACACAACACAATACAATACAATACAATACAAGACAAGACAATACAACAACACAATACAATACAACACAACACAATACAACACAACAACACAATACAACAATACAACACAATACAACACAATACATGACACAAACGCTCAGTTGGACTCACACATGAACTGATTAGATATTTGGGATCATAGGTCAAAGGTCAAGGTCACAGTGACCAGTGGTCACTTGGACTCAGGTGAACTGATCAGATCTCAGAGGTCAAAGGTCACACTGACCTTAGATACTATGACCTCCATCATGGACTTTGTGTTTTCATCAGCATTTGTTTGTGTGTCGACATAAAAAACGACTCGACTGATGAACTGTTGTGGAGGGGTGGGACCTTTACATGTTTACATGTTAATGACGGTGGTGATGAAGATGTGAAACATGTTAAAAACTCCTGCTGCTGTGGTTTGTTCACAGACTTCTGCTTCCTGCAGACTTCACTGTGTTCTCCTACAGTCGGAACGGATCAGTGATCACCACCAGACCACCTGTACAGGTAACACACACACACACACACACACACACACACACACACACACACACACAGCATGAGTGTGATTACATCGGCAGGTTGTAAACTTCACTCTCTCCTCGCACCCACACTGATACCTGCAGACCGTACTCAGGGCTCTGTTGCCTCCAGGAAGTACTGAGATGAGTCCAGAACCCTCCACTGACAAAATGTCTCACAAAATAAATGCAACAAAAAGCTTCTTGAAGAAACTAAAATGAATCTGGTTGATTCTTAGCAACAGATGCATGATGGGAGTTCTCTGGACTCCTGTGTGTGTCACCCTCAGTTCAGTGTTTATAACTCAGGTGTCTTTGTGTTACAGAACCACTGTCACTACCGGGGCTTCGTTCAGAACATGGAGGGTTCATCTGTCGCTATGAGCATCTGCAACGGCCTCAGGTAACACACACACACACACACACACACACACACACACACACACACACACACACACACAGGTTTGTGTTCAGACATTAAAGGGACGTTTCAACCAAATATAAAAAACGTGCTCAGTTTCTTCAGGGTCTTCGTCCCAGTTTGATGATGTCATGTGTTTTTCTCATCACAGTCATTCACAGTTGAACATGTTTGTTTGGTTTCAACAGCTTCTCTGAACATCTGGAGAAAAACGTTCTACATCGAGACTAATGTTCCTCATTCATCACACTTCAGTTTTATCTTCAATGCATTTGAAATGACAGGATATACTGTTTATTGTATTTATTATACTGTAAACATACTGTGAGGTACTACACAGAGTGAGGTACTGTGAATATACAGTGAGGTACTGTGAACATACAGTGAGGTACTACACACAGTGAGGTACTGTGAATATACAGTGAGGTACTACATACAGTGAGGTACTGTAACATACAGTGAGGTACTACACACAGTGAGGTACTACACACAGTGAGGTACTGTGAACATACAGTGAGGTACTGTGAATATACAGTGAGGTACTGTAAACACACAGTGAGGTACTACACACAGTGAGGTACTGTGAACATACAGTGAGGTACTACATACAGTGAGGTACTGTAAC